AAGAGTGGTGATCCCTGCTGGCACTGGCACAGCCCAGCCCAGCAGCAGGGCCCTGTCCCACAGGGTGCCATGCCGAGCAGTTTTCAGCTGAAATGTTCCCTCTTCACACAGGCAGGGTGACAAAGTCATATTCCTCCCACACCGCAGAGGGGAAACTGAGGCAGGAAGTGCTGCCTGCACTCAGAAAGGCTGAGCAAGTCTGAGCTCTGAATGGCTACAATTCACAAGTCTCACTTCTACCACTGAAACTCTGCCTCCTTTCAACATCCAGCACCGGGTAAACCTGCTGCTTTTTGCCAAGGCTCAGCTCGTGCTTTGGGGCATCAAACTGCTGATTGCTTCCCTTGGAAGAACAAAAAGCCCGGTGATAATGCTGAGGCCCTTTACAAATTGTAAAGCACCCAGCAAAGTTCCCAAATAAAAGAATCGCTGGAAATGGTTGCTCTTTGTGAATTCCTGAGGCGCTGGAATCGGGAACATGTTCAAAGCAGAATCTTTCAGCAGCAAATAACTAGGCAGAAGATGGTAATTTTGGTGTGTTCTGAACAAGGAACGATTTTTGCAGCTGTCATTTCCTTGAGCCTGGAAATGGGAGGTCAGCCCTCCCTCCAAGCACTGGAAGCAAAGGCATCCCTTTGAAAACAAGTGCTTGATTTTCCTCCTCCATCTCGTGTGGCTAATGAACATTATGTCGTTGCTGAGCTTATTCTGGCATCTCTTCTGAGCCTGACAACCCACCATGGCTGCTCTCCATGAATGGTGTTGGTTTCACTTCAATCTCCTTCAGCACAGAAAGAAAAACAAGGAAAAGCAAGGGTGTTCAAGAAGCTTGAGGTGCTGTTTAAAACAGGGGAAATGAAAAATCAAGGTGGAGCACCAGCTTGCTGCTACATTGTAAGGAAGGGCCAGAACTAGCTTAATTCCCCAGAGCTCAGGGTGTGAGCTTGGGTTAAGATGAAGTGATTTGTTGAGTTAGCCTTGTGTGGTTTAGGCAGCACCTTCAGCTGCTGGCTGAAGTCATCCTGAAGGAAATCATGATGGAGCTTTAAATTCAGACAAGGAACCTTCACCTCCTGTCACCTCACGTCGTCACCCTCAGACAACAAATGGCACATGGAAGGGGCTGGGATGACAGATGACAGTGAATATATATATAATGTTCTATTTGTTTCTGCTTCTAAATTTGTCCCCCAGAGGCTCTTCCAGTGGTGGCTCCAGGCAGGAGCCAGGCAAGAGGCAAATCAGCTCTTGCTGTGCTCCAGACATGGGATGTATCCCACATTCCAGGGGGAATCTGAATTCTTGTCCAGTTTTCTGGTCTCTTGGGAGTGCCTGCTGCAGCACCCAGAGCAGATCCCAGTTAGGACAGGGGTGCAGTCACCAGTAGGTTCAGTAGAGCTGGAACCCCAGTGCCCTGTGGTGCTAAGGGGTTTTCTGCAAATTACCTCTTGGGCTTCAGGAAACAGCAACTCAGCAGTCCTGTTCTACTAATTCCCTTCTGGAGTGGAAGCAAGGAGTGCTAAGTGAAGGTGTTCAAGACCTTCCCTCCCAGGCTTACAGACTGACATGGAATGGAAGCAGATCCATGAAGTGGTGGGAGGTTCTTCCTCACTGCATCCTGTAACCTGAATTGCCTGCCCCAGTGACAGCAGGATTCAGAAAGAAGCATGAGAAGGAAGAAGAGAAAGGAATGGCAGAAAGAAAAGGCAGCAGGAAGTTGAATCTCTGCCACATGGGCAGGACTTGGTACCTTCTAGCTCTGGACATACACAGGGAACTCATGATCAAAGCTCTCTGAAAGCCCATTCACCTTTGCACTTCCTCCAGGTGTTAAATTTTGTACCAACCACGCACCTAAGAAGTCATTTAGCTACTTGTAAAACAAAAGGAGGGAAAAGATTTCATGTAACATGGAGGAAAGCACCATTAAAGGGAATGAGAGAGTCTCCTACCAAAGCAGAGTAATGATATGCTACAACAAGGTGACCCAATCATTCATTTTGCACTAAGAATATTTATTTTGATGGAAAACCCAAGGAGACAACTCAGCCTAAAGAGCTGGGAAATATGTGCTCCTCAAGGGGAGCTGTAATATATTTCCCCTTTACTGTGCCAGATTCAGAGTACTCAGCCAATATAGAATTAAATGGACCTGGACAAAGCAGCTTCCTGAGGAGCATAATTAGCTGGTGGCTTGGAGTGCTCTCTAATTCAATTAGCAGCACCATTTATCAGAGCCAGCTGAGATTTACATTTGCACTTGCTGACGTCAATGTGAGACACAGTGGGTCCCAGAAGCCTCCAGTTCAGCAG